TTAGAGGCATTAATTTTAATCATCATACAAAATATGCATGACAAGTCTGCACTCTTCCAGACCGAGACACTTTTGCATTTGATACGAGCGGTGGTTTAACTACCGCACAGCTAGACGAGTTGAAGAAGATGTTGACTGTGAATGTCGATGCGGCGGGAGTATCGGGGATTTCGGTCGATCAGGGCGCGCAGGTAGCGCCGGCCCCGTCTCCCACGACGACGACTACAACGACTACGACTACTACTACTAGTACCACAACAACGGTGGCGGCAGCTGCAACGACCACGAGTACTAGCACCACAACCTCAACTAGCACCACAGCCAGTACTACTGCAACAGCTGCTGCTGGTGGTAACACGACCAGCACTTCGACCACAACTTTGCCCACCCGGCAGTACGGAGCGTCGATCGATATCCCGAATGGGGTGGACCCGGCTACGTACATCCAGGACCCAGATTTGGTTGCGGCGTTCAAGTCAGGGACGGTGACGTATTTGCAGAGCAACGGGCTCTCGGGCATCGACACCTCGCAAGTGATCAACTTCCAACTGACGGTTTATGAAATTGCAAAAGCTTTCACAGCACCGCGGTACTTACTAGTTGGCATTGCATTGCAAATTTAATAGATTTTCGTCACAATTTGAAGAAGAATACAGTTTTTCATGCAACAGATTTCTCAGGAATTAAGGAAGCTAAATTTGTCATGCAAAATTGCGATTAGCATGGTTGCGAAGATACTTTTGCAATTTTCCATACGGCTTCGTCGTCCACCTTCTTCCTGCTCGGAACCACAAGGCGAACGACGGTTCAGATTGCGCAGTCGACAGCTGCGCAGAAGAAATCGCAAGCAGAGATGCAAAAAAGCCAGTCCGTGAACCTGGTCGCTTCCTTCCAAGTCAACATCCCCGCTTCGCAGCAAGCGGCTTTGAACAATGCCTTCCCGGCAGCCGGAATGCCAGCTTCCGCTCTGTCCGCCCTCGGCTCGGCCGTGACGGCAAGTGTGGCGAACAGTGGGGTCGCTGGGGTCTCCGTCCAGAGCCTGAGCAGCATGCCGGCACCGGGGGTTGCGACAACCACCTCTACCTCTACGACCCCGGTGCCCAGCATCACCAGGGGGTTTGTGGTGGAGTTGGAGATTCCCGCGACCGAGACTGCGCAGTCCTTGTCGGCCAAAACCGCTTTAGTGGACAAGCTCCGCAACGCGACGTACTTCTATTTAGACGAAGATACTGCTCTCTCTTTAGACGCAGCGGACATCAGCTCCTTCCTAGTCGAGCCGGGGGATGACACTGGAGCCGCGGGGTATGTGAACTTAAATGTCTCCTACACGGCTCAGATCAAACAGCCAAACGCTCTCGCCGACGCTTTGCTCCGGTGGCCGGATCCGGCGACTGGTACTGGTTTATCCACGGATCAAGTGCAGGAGTTCAAGAAATTGCTGATCGAAAATGTGGAACTAGCGAACCTACCCGGCGTGCAGGTCGGCCCCGCGCCGATTTCCCAAGTACCGTTGTCAACCACGACGACAAGCACAACAAGCACGTCGACGATGGCACCGTATGAACATTGACAACTCCCAGCTCGCCTCATTTGTATGGCATAAAAAGCAACACAAGCAACCGCAGATGTGTGGCATCCGCATGGCAAACCTGAAGACGGATTCTAGTACTGTTTGAGGTTTTAAAATTTGGCATGCAGATAGTGCGTACAGGCAGGGCATTTTATTTGATATTCTGCATTACAAATGGGGGGGGGGGGGAATTGTGCACTCTCATACGCCGAACACGACTTCCACAACCTCGACTACCACCTCGACGAGCACTACGACGACCACGTCAACCACGACTACAACAACAAAAGTCTTGGATCGGGCGTTCACGATGAACATCACGATCGAAAATAGCAAGTTCACGCCTGCACAAGCTCTTGCGAACGCCGAACTCGCCAGTGCGGTGACCACCGCGACTTTAGATTATTTCAACGACAAGGATAATTCTCTACAATTAGAATACGCTTCGATCGTCGATTTGAAACTCGAACAGGGCGCCGCCGCGTTCCTACTGTTCAACAAGTGGCAGAAAATGGAACAAGATGCTTTCTCCTCCAGGCACCCGGGATTAGTCGCCGTGACCCAGCAAGCAGTGACCGTGCAATCGAGTTTATTGAAGAAAAACGTGTTTTCCGCGAAGGAGATGAAACGAGAGCAGAGGAGAAAATCTCAAACCGAAGTGAAGGTTGAAGTCACGTTTGGAATTGGCGTGGACTCGGATATTATCGCCGGGAAAATCGCTGCAGTTTGGCCGGAGTCCGGATTGGTCAGCTCGTCTGGACTACTGACCTTCCTGCAGCCGAAGGTGGACGCGATTGAGGGGATGTTGCTCGGGTCCTTAGCCCCGGCCGCTGCCAACCCGACCACCACGACCACGACGACAACAAGCACCACGACGACGACAACGACGACTAGTGTGACGACAACGACCACCACCGTTACCACTACAACCACGACCACAACCACGCCTGTCAGCTACGGAACGGTCCAACGGGCGATCGGGTTCTCGCTCGATGTTTCTGCCGCCCCAGATCCCGACCCGACGGCACAGGAGCTGATCTCGAATGACGCGATCAAGGCAGAAATCGTCAAGGTTTCTGTCGCTACGACCGTCAGCTTCTTAGAAGACGGGGGTGTGTTGGATCTGACGACGGATATGGTCAGTTGTGCTCTATCGTTGGATACGAACAGCACCGGCGGGCAGAGCAGTTTGCTGCTACAAGAATTGGAGCGCATGTTCTTCGAACAGGAGCAAGCGAGTTTTTTGCAAACGCAGAGTGAGAAGTTATCTCTCGTCCAGACGGGGACAAGTACGGCGTTGACGGCGGAGAGGACCAGCAGTTCTTTGACTTCCGCGCAGAGGGAGAAGTTGGGGATTGAATTGAAAGCCGAGATGGACTCCCAGGTGGAGCTGCATTATTCTGTGGAGTTCATGCGGTTGGAGATGGAAAGGAATAAGAAGTTCCAGGAAGAATACCACTTCACGCGGAACTTATGCATAGCAAAAGTGTCGTACTACGTACACATCGCATGACAAATCTACTTAAATCTTTTCCAGAAGAAAAATAAAATTAATCATGCAGATTCAAGTATAGAAAGCAGATCTGTCATGCGCAACTGGCATTTATACGAGTGCGATACTTTTGCGATGCATAGAATTCCACCGTCCACGACCTAGTCATGACCTGCACAATCGACGTAAACGCGAACAACGCACATGAGATAGCTCTCGCCTGGCCGCCGGAGGGGCTGGATTCGAACGAGCTAACCGGGTTCTTGAATCTCTTCTCCGCAAATTTAGACGCCGATCAGTTACCGTATGAGATTGTCGGGGCGGTCTCCTTGCCGGCGCCGAGTGTGACGACCAGCACGACTACAACGACCATTGCGGTTACGACATCCACGACAACGACGACGACGGGGAGGAATTTACACCCGTATTCCATGCTGATCCAGATGGAGATCGAGTATGTTTACCCGCGGACGGTGGATACGTTGTTGGTGAATCCTTATTTCCGAGATGCGATCAACACGACGATTTTAAATTTGTTCGACGAGTGGGCTGCTGGGCTTTTGCCGATGGACATCGTCTACCTGAAGTATGAGGAGTTGAAGAACCAGACGACTGCGACCGCCGATGTGAGCAACACGACTACTTTGCTGCAGAGCAGCGCCAGCGCCACCAGGGCTGCTCTGCCACCTGGATCTTCTTTGCATCAAGAAAAGCAGCTGTACAAAGATATCAACCTGCATCAGCAAGGGGGTAGTACTAGTAGCAGCTTCTTGGCTCTCAGTGAAGAAGGACAGGGATCGAGTGAAGTAGAGCTTTCCACTTCCGAAGGCGCTCTGTCTAGTATGCGAAACATCCGCAACAGCCTTAACGGCCACCGCCCCGGTACTAGTAGTGGCGAAAGGCTGAAGCACCAAATGAAGATTGCGTTAGGGGATGTGGAAGCGGCTCGCAGAGGCGTGGAGCAAGCCAGGGAAATGGCGGGGTACCAAACCAAGAAGCACAACCAAGAAAAAGCTTTGCGTGATAGTGTTTCTCTCGTGCGCTCCGACTACACGACAGGTAAAAAGCACAAGTTGATGACAGGCGCGGCTTTAACTGAACAGAAGCGCCTCGAGTCCGCTCGGATGAAGTTGCAAAAGATCGCGGGTGAAACTGGGATCGCTTCGGGAAAGAAAGGCATGCTGATGAAATCTGGGAGCAGTACTAGCTCTGTCACGGTGACACAGTTCTTCGCGCAAGTCACGATCATGATCGAGAACATCGATTTAGCGGATGACATTTGGCCCTGGAACACGCAACTCTCGGCGGAAGATGAAGCGGAAGCTTTGAACTTCTTCAAAACCCAGATGTCAATAGACGAGCTCCAGGATATCAATTGCGTTCGCTTCACCGGTCACGTGGACCCGTCGATCACGACCACAACAACCTCGACTACAACCACGACGACGACTACCACGACAACCACCACGACAACCACGACCACTACCACCACGACTTTAATGCGGAGGCAGTTCGGGATCACGTTTTACTTCGATGATTCTCTCGATGTGGACGACACCATGTACGAGATTTTGCCGATGGTGGAGAAAGGGGTTTACGTCTTCTTCGTCACAGAAGGGGTGAATTTGGATGAAGAAGACATCCTGGATTTTGAACTCGAAGTCAACGCGACCACGTATATGGCAAGCAATAATACCAACACGACCTTGCTTTTGCAGGAAGCCATCCGCACCGCGCAGCAAGCGGCGTTCTTGCAGGAGTCGATCAAACCATATGGGGTTGTGAGAAAACAGCCAGCGAAAGCGGTGCTGCCCTCATTGGTGAAGCACGAGCGGTATCACGGGGCGCAAATCCCGGTGGTGCATCCTAGGACAGTAAAGGGAATGGTCGCGGCGGGTGGTAATACCGGTAAAAATTTCGCTGTTGTTCCAGGGCGGGGTACTAGTGGTGGAAGTAATCCAGCTAATATGCAGACTAGTCTAATGCAGGACGACAGCAGCTACCTGTACACCGCGCAAGTCGAGCTGGACGCGATCTGCCGCTTCGACATCCGGCCGATATCCGCAGCGCTGCAGATGAACATGAACGGCCTTTGGTCTTTGCAGAACGGATATCAAATGTAAAAGTGTCTGGGTCTGGAAGATTGGAACTTGTGATGCTGCATTTGGATTACAAAAAAATCTGTATTGCATGAGCAGCAAAGGGAATGCATTTTTTGCTACGCGGAGATGGCATTTGTAATGCGGAATAGGCATCAAGAAGGCCTCAAAAAATCTGTGATGCTAGGGCACGCATCACAGACATCAAGACTTGTGCAAAACCTGCATGACAAGTCTAGAAAATTTCCAGACCCAGACACTTTTGCATTTGATAACGGATTAGACGCCAGTAAGACGACCCAACTGCTCGGTGCAATCAAGAACCAGATCGAGACAATCCACAACGTGCAGGGCGTGGAAGTTGGCGCGGTGGCGATCATCACCACGTCAACCAGCACGACTACGACCACGACGACAACCACCACGACAACCGTCACGACGACGACCACCACGACGGTCACGACAACCACAGGGACTACGTCCACGACGACGACGTCGACTACGACAACTACGATGTACAAAATGCTGCGGAACTTCGAGATCACGATCGAAGTCCCGGACGACGCAGACGACACGGAGATCTCCCAGAAGCCGGCACTGATAAAAGCTTTTGTGAATGGAACTCTGAACTATCTACGCAACGCCGCGCCCGTGTTAGACACCCAGTTGACAGTCATGACGATTTCGGTCGCCGCGAATCAGACCCTGATGCTGTTGCAGCAGTCGGCGCACGCTGGCGTGAGTAGTAGATCCGGCGTCGCAGTTTCCAAGAGCAGGAAGGAGTGGGAGCTGGGCAGTGAGAATTTGCCTGGCGCCGTCGCGGATGGTGTCAGAAGTACGAGCTTCTTGCTGGATGACCAAGGCGACAACGAGCAATCTCAGTCGCAGGAGGACAAAAATAGCTTTTTGCTCGAAAAAGCCGAAATGGCGATTGAGCAAGCCATGAAGCCGAACAAAGTTGTCGACACGGTCAGAAAATTGTACGAGCCACATTCCTGGAATCTTCAAGATCGATCCACCTGGCTGCTCGCCAGCTCCCCGAACAAGAAGAGAAAGAAGGCTGAACAAAAAGTAGATCCGGAATTCCTCCCCACTTCTGCGCGATCCTCCTCCCCCATTCTGATTGAACAGGGAAGGAAGGTTCTTACTACAAAAGCCACGGCCTTCAGGGATTTGAAACTCGAAGTCAGCTTCTTGGTCGAAATCCCGAAGGAAGACATCACGGCGCTGACCGATCATATGGGAGTGCACAACTCCCCCTCCCCCTCATTTGTCACGCAAAATCCCCAATCCAGCTGCTGCCTTGTAGCACTGTTTGCATGACAAATTCTTGAAGCCCACACTAGGCGCGTGAATTTGTCATGCACAGGCTCCACGTGTGCTGGTGTTTGTATTGCCGTTCATGCTATACAAATGAGGGGGAGGGGGAGTTGTGCGCCGTCATAGATCAGTGGCCATCTTCCGGTTTGTCCTCTTCGCAGATCAATGCTCTAGTAGATTTGATCCGCGCTGCGGTCAGTTACGCGGCGATTCCGGGCGTGAGTGTTCCGGGCGGGGCGGTGATCACCACACCGGTGGCGGCGACCACGACGACAACTAGTACTACTGTCGCCGCGAATACGACCACGACTACAACCAGCACTACGACGAGTACCACTACAGAGACGACAACCACGACGACAATCGCCGCGCTGGAAGTGCTGGAAAGGCGGTTCGAGTTGAACTTCGACATCGATGCGAGTGCCACGGTGGACCCGGCGGCGCAGATCCTGAACAATCAAGTGCTGCTGGACAACATTGAAGCTGGTATAATACTGCGCTGGTTTTTTGTGGTCAGCCGCAAAGTCTTGGTCTGAGTAACATCAAGTGCTGCACTATTTGCGTCGAGTATACGCTGGTGTGTAATGTCTTGCAGCATGCTACCATGGTCAGTAAATCGACCGCTGTCGTGCCATGCTGTATAATGTTACTCACGATGGTATGAAAGGTCTAAGAAGAGCACGGATCGCTTGTAGAAAAGACGAGCAGCGCTTGCCCGGCCGTGATGCTTCGGACGCAACGAGCCTCGACTTGTGCGAGGGCGTCTGGTTTGGTGCTTGAGCGCGCGGATCTTTCACGTTGTTGCGTCAGCGCGAGCCCTTTTTGCGCCAGACGAGCTTTGAATATGTGTTAAAATTAGCGGTGAATCAGCACGACCTTTCGCTGTGGACGAAGATCCACTTTTTAGGTACTAGCTCTAGCACACGATCGCGCATAACGATTTGCAGCATGCTATCGCGGACGTTACATTATCGCCTGCAGCACCATGCTGAAAAAGATTATGCGCGATGGGATACAACAGGTAGAAAATGTCTTGGCTTAGTTGCCTTCCTTGGATTTGCCTCCTTGGGATCTGTCTTCCTCGGCTTGCCTTCTTGAGATTTGTCGTCCTCGGCCTGCCTTCTTGGGATTTGTCTTCCTCGGCTTGCGTTCTTGGGATTTGTCGCCCCCGGCTTGCCTTCTTGGGATTTGTCGCCCCCGGCTTGCCTTCTTGGGATTTGTCTTCCTTGGATTTGCCTTCTTGGAATTTGTCTTCCTTGGCTTGTCTTCTTGGGATTTGTCGCCCCCGGCCTGCCTTCTTGGGATTTCTCGCCCCCGGCTTGCCTTCTTGGGATTTGTCTTCCTCGGCTTGCCTTCTTGGGATTTGTTGCCCCCTGCTTGTCTTCTTGAGATTTGTCGCCACCGGCCTGCCTTCTTGAGATTTCTTCTTGAGATTTGTCGCCCCCTGCTCGTCTTCTTGAGATTTGTCGCCACCGGCTCCCCCTTCTTGAGATTTGTCGCCCCCTGCTTGTCTTCTTGAGATTTGTCGCCACCGCTCTCCTTCTTGAGATTTGTCTCCCTCGGCTTTCCTGGTATGCCTTCTTGAGATTTGTCCCCTCCTGCTTGTTTTCTTGAGATTTGTCGCCACCGGCTTGTCTTGGCATTTCTTCTTGAGATTTGTCGCCCCCTGCGCCCTGCTTGTCTTCTTGAGATTCGTCGCCGCCGGCTCTCCCTTCTTGAGATTTGTCGCCCCCTGCTTGTCTTCTTGAGATTTGTCGCCACCGGTCTTCCTTCTTGAGATTTGTCTCCCTCGGCTTTCCTGGTATGCCTTCTTGAGATTTGTCCCGTCCTGCTTGTTTTCTTGAGATTTGTCGCCACCGGCTTGTCTTGGCATTTCTTCTTGAGATTTGTCGCCCCCTGCGCCCTGCTTGTCTTCTTGAGATTCGTCGCCACCGGCTCTCCCTTCTTGAGATTTGTCGCCCCCTGCTTGTCTTCTTGAGATTTGTCGCCACCGGTCTTCCTTCTTGAGATTTGTCTCCCTCAGCTTTCCTGGTATGCCTTCTTGAGATTTGTCCCCTCCTGCTTGTTTTCTTGAGATTTGTTGCCACCGGCTTGTCTTCTTGAGATTTGTTTTCCTCGGCTTTCCTTCTTGGGATTTTTTTGTCTTCCTCGGCTTGCCTTCTTGGGATTTGTGTTCTTCGGTTCGCCGAAAAAGCTCAAGCAGATTCTCTGCCCTCACAGGCTGTTTTCTGTTTGTAATTGGTGATACCGTGGTGAGTAATCTTATCCACCATGCTACGATGTTGCACAAAACCAATACAAAGCACAGCATCCTGGGTAATCTTATGCTGCATAGTATAATGCTACTTTCTTTTTCAACATTTTGCATCACGCTCATCCACATTACTTCTCAGGTATTCTGAAGTGGTTGCAAGGCTCAACGGCCTCGCTGAACAACTTCGATGGCAACCAGTTTACCAACTTCACTCTGACCCCGAAGGGCAGCGCGTTGCTGTACGTGCAGCGAAGGGACGAGCAGTCTCCATCCGCTGCAAATGCGGGTCCTGGTTTATTACAATGAAAAATGCCCCCTCCCCATATCAAAACGGAAATCTGTGATGCAGATTTGGGGCCACAAGTCAGCTCTGTATTGCAGAGAGGCATTGCGGCTAGATCCCCCGGCTAGGTAGGCGCGTATGGGTCTAGTTGTTCAGCATGGCAAACGGCTCCCCTTTAGTCCCAAGAGCGTGACAAATCGCTTGCATAATGGGGCGGACGGCTCTGCCCTCGTCTTCTTGCAAGACAGATGTGATTTGTGACCTCAAATCCGCAACACAAATTTTTGGAAACATACCTTTTCGATATGGGGAGGGGGGATTTTTCCTCTCAATATGGTTTCCTCCTACAAATTTCCTACCACGTGGACAAGCGGAACGCGTATGACGTGGTGGTATCAAATGCAAAAGTGTGTGGATCTGGAAGATTGCAACTTGTCATGCTGTTTTTGGACTCTAAAAAAAATGTGTATTGCATGACCAGCAAGATGGGTGCAGTTTTTGCTATACAGACAGGCCATTTCTCATGCGGAAGGTGCATCAGGAAGCGGCCCTGTAAAAGTCTGCGATGCTACTTCAAGCATTACAGGCGTCGTGGGTCATGAGAAATATGCATGACAAATCTTGCATTCTTCCAGACCCAGACATATTTGCAATGCATAGGTGGCCTCCTTGAACATCATTTGCGCGACCAACGCAGAACTCACCGCGGTCGAAGCGTCCTGGCCGGCTCCTGGCTTGGACGCCGTCCAGCTTTCCGCTTTAGCAAGCGAAGTTACCTCTGCGGTTTCAAACACCGGGGTGCCGGGGGTCACGGCGACAGGGATCAAATCCATGCCCGCGCCGGAGAAGCCGACGACTACCACGACGACAAGCACGACAAGCACGACGACCACCTTACCGCTCTCCCAGCGCGAGTTCCAGATGATTGTTTCCACGGATGACGCGATTATCAACGACGTGGATACGCAGATCATTGGAAGTACAGAGTTGCTGACTGCGGTCAAGCTGGCCATCGTGCGCTTCCTGAGGGATTACTTGTCCTTTACGAGTGTCACGTCTTCCAGCATTGAAGATCTGGCGTTCTCCAAAACCGCACTGCTTATGCTGTTGCAAGGACAACACGAGCAAGCCTCAACGTCGTTGAGAGTAGACTTAACCGCCAATAAA